AAGCCAAACGGGCACGCGCCGGTCTCGCAGCCCGGAGGTGCAGCTCCTTCTACAACCTGCCCACGGAGCGATCTGACCTGCGGAAGATCTGCTACAAAGATGTCTGCCGCTGTGCTGAGGGTGAGGTCATGGGGACGGAGGGCCAAGGCTGCCAGGCTGGGGGTCCAGAAGCCCTTGGTCACCTCCTGAGTGCCGCCCGGCTGATGAGTGTAGGCACGATAGGAAGACAGAGACACGGAGAGAGAAAAGGAGACCCAGAGGCAGATTGGCACACAAAGTCCCACCGAGGTTGGAGGAAGGCCAGGCGCAGGGACCTGGGGCCTGATGGGGGTCTGGTGGAAGGAAGCCCCTCCCCCAGCGCGCCAGAGCAGCTGCCCCTCCCCCTCCAGAACTGTGCCCGTCCCAGAAGAAGGACAGCAGCTGGATGAGGCAGGAGGAGCTCCAGCTGGCGGCCTGTGAGGCAGGCATGGACTTTGGTGAGTTGTGGGAATGGCAGGAGGCAGGAGGCCCACCTGCAGGCCGGACACCAACCCAAGCCCTCCTGTCCCGCCTTCCCCAGTGTTCAAGGCCAGGCTGGAGGCTGTGGAGGCCTCTGCCTCCAACCCCTACATCTACTACAACATGCAGCTCCAAGCCATCATCAAGAGTGGTACGTCCCAGGTGGCAGAAGCCATGGGTGGGTCCCTGCGCGGGGGGAGGGCCAGGCCTGTGCGTGCTCATTGGGCATACACTGGGTTTCCTCTCCTCCAGGCACGGACGCTGCTGCCATGCCCCTGGACATGAAGAAATTCGTCACCCATGCCTCCTGCCATGACTCGCTGGAGCTGCAGGAACAAGAGTCATACCTCATCATGGGCCGGACGTCAGACCTGTGGAGAGTCAAATCTGAGTACGTGGGGGCCTCCTGTGCCCTGGGGACTCAGCCCGGGCCCCCTCCCCTACTGCAGCCCAGTCCCTGGTGTCAAAATCTCTGTTGCATTTGTCAGTAGAGTCTTGGGTTTGAGAGCCACACCGAATGGAGGTGCAGGGAACACCACTCACACAGACGTTGTAGAAGGAGATGTAGATCGGTTTCCCAACGGGGGGTGGTAAAGAGTCAGAGGAAGGGGAGCCTTTTTCCATCCCCAGATGGCCCTGTGGCGTGGACACTATAGGCCGAGGCTCTGGGGGGCTGCCAAGCAGGGCAGAGGGACAAGGAAGGGAAGTGTCCATGCCTCTGGGGGTACCCGGCTCTCCTCACCTTCTTTGCTCTCCCTTACCCACAGTTACAACTATGTCCTGGGCAAGGAGACATTCCTCATGCATTGGCCAGCGGATGGGGATGTGAAAAAGAAGGAATTGCTGGGCCAACTGGAGGGATTTTCAGAGTACATGAGCACCCATGGCTGCAAGTCCTGAGACCCTGGGGCGTCCGCTGCTGTCGGGTTGTCTCCAGGCAGGCCCAGGCCATTGGGCTTAACCCCGGATAACGAGCATGGAACATCATACTCAAGCTCCAGACAACTGCTCCTGTTTCAACGTTCAGCGAGAGCCCTGCAGAGCCCGCCCTGGCATTGCTTGCACCTGCCTCCTCCTCTCTCCTACTCCATCCCAATCACACTGGCCTCCCTTGTGTCTTTTCAACACCCAAGTTGACTCCCACCTCAGGACCTTTGCACTTGCTGTCCCCTCTACGGGTACACCCTTTCTCCAGATAGCTGCGTGACCTGCACCCTTCCCTTATTCGGAGGAGGTATTTAAATGTCACCTCCTCAAAGCTACTTGCTTCAATAACATATCTAAAACAGACCCCCTCTCATCACACTCTCTTCCCTTACTCTGCTCTATTCCCTCAATAACACTTATAAATATATTGTATATGATATCCATTGGTTTGCTTATTAAAGGAGTGTTACCCCTGCCCAACAAGGTCCGCTCCTTAAGACCAGGGATGTATCTGTCTTGCTCCCTGCGGTATTCTGTTCCTACATCAGGGGCTGGTATACACTAGGTGCTCAAGAAATTGTTGTGAATGAATGAATGAATGAATGAATGAATTTGGTCCTCACCCTGCACCTGATCCTGAGGGAAGCTTGATGGGTAACCCCAGCAACTGGGGAGCCAAGACAAGGGGCAAAGGAGGATGAATGAGTTTCATCTTGTGGACTTGGGTGGGAGTGGGGAACCTGCCAAGCCAAGGCAGCAGCCCATCTGGCCCAGGGACACCCCAGGAATGCTGGAGGGACTGCGAGACTTCCAGAATGGCTTGAACTTGGTGTATGAGGAGGGGCTGAAGGTGAGAGGGAGGAAGAGAAAGATGGGACTGAGGAGGCTGACTTCCTAAAGGACTTTGAATGCCAGGCTATAGGGCTTGGTCATTACCAAGGGCAGTGGGTGCCACTGAAGGCTTTTGAAGCAGCAGAGGAACTTTCCAGGCCTGAGGTAGAAGGCCCAGCTGGTTGATGGGTGGAAATGGAGTTGATGGCACAAGACCTGAGGGGACGGCTGGAGAGTTGTTGTGAGTGTTCAATAAACATTTACACCTGCCGGCATGGCTCGGTGGTTAAGCAACCGTTATAATGTACCCCGCGAATCACACAAGGGCGCCTCAAGAAATCGAATTAAAGAGTCACATTTATCGCAAATCCGGGACTATGAATGAATTTGGTCCTCACCCTGCACCTGATCGCATAGTGCCCTCCCCAGCCCCAACTCCAGACTTACATAGGCAAAGATCACAAAGGTATTGATTACATCCCAGGGTTTGGAATGAGGAGCCTGGTTTGCAAAAAGCAGTTTACAGACTTAAGCATGTTATCTAAATTATAGTTTTGGGTCCCGGGATCACTGAGTTGACAGAAACACATTATCTAGAGCCCTCGGGCCTTGGGACCACTGAGTCAACAGAGATACGTTATCTGGAGCCCTCTGACCTCGGGATAATTGTGCTGTCCTTCCCAGGTACAGAAGAATGTGCTTTGATAACCAGTATGACCACAACCAATGGGATATTCACATTACAATCAAAGGTTATCAATCGAATGGGATAATTTATATAATTCAGAAAATCAAAATAACTTTTCTATTATTTTAGCAAGCAAATAAGTACAGAAACCAAATAGCAGAGTTAAAGTTAAACTATAGTTTCTACCTGAGATGATTGCTACCATACTTCATGTCAACCTATAAAGCAGGAGATCACAGTTCGATTCCCAGTCAGGGCACATGCTTGGGTTTCAGACACGATCCCCAGTAGGGGGTGTGCAAGAGGCAGTCGATCAATGAATCCCATCATTGATGTTTCTATCTCACCCTCTCCTTTCCTCTCTGAAATCAATGAAAATATAACACACACACACAGGAGGGAGGGAACTAAATAGTGGTTCTACATTCCACTTGAAGTGGTAAAAATATTAATTCTAAGTAGACCATGCAAACTACAGTATGTATATTGTGGTCACTAGAGCTACCATTAAAGATAATAAAAACTCAATAGCTAAATTCATTCTAAAAATATTCAAATAATCCAAAAGCATGCAAGAAAAAAAAAAGAGAGAGAAGAAGAACGCAAAGGAGATACGCAGAAAATAAATAATAAAATGGTGGACCTACATTCAACCATATCCCTCGAACCTTGAGATGACAGCAGTCCTAGCTGCCACCACGGCTGCCACCGGTGAGAAACCTTAACGCTGAGGCACTTTGCTAAGTAAGCTGTGCCCAGATTCCTGGCCCACGGGAACCACGAGGAAATGACGGTTTGTTGTTTTCAGCTGCCGCCTTTGGAGATAAGTTGTGACGCAGCAGTGGATGATGAACACAGTGGCCATCTCTGGGAAACACAGCCGCCGCCACCTGGTCCCGGCCAGCATTCCTGTGAGGTTGAGATCTCTCAATGAGCCTGCATCAGTCTTCGCTCTCGTCGCAGGCCTGGTCTCTCTGCCCCGCTCAAGCTTGGCGAAGCCGCACCATCACCCAGTGGCCGGCCCATGGTGACTAGGTAAAGAGGGAGGATTTACTCCCAGACGGTTTTACCCCAGGTCTCCAGGGTCTGGTCACGTTGGCATGCACTTTCCTTCTCCAAAAGGAGATGTCTTAAGAATGATAACCAGCCTGGGACGGTGTTTCCGGTTTGTTTGTTTACACAGTTTTTGTTTTTAATATATTTTTATTGATTTTTTACAGAGAAGAAGGGAGAGGGATAGACAGAAACGTCGATGAGAGAGAAACATGGATCAGCTGCCTCCTGCACGCCCCCTACTGGGGATGGAGCCCTCAACCAAGGTACATGCCCTTGACCGGAATCGAACCCGGGACACTTCAGTCCACAGGCCAATGCTCTATCCACTGAGCCAAACCCTGGTCAAGGGCATGTACCTGGGTTGCAGGTTGGATTCCCAGCCCTGATCAGGGCACCTTCAGGAGACAACCAATCCATGCATCTCTCTCACATCGATGTTTCTCTCTCTCCCTCCCTCCTTCCCTCCTTTCCACACTTTCTAAAAATCAATAAAAAAATATATATTCAGGTGAAGATTAACAAAAAAAAAAAAAAGGAAGAAAAAGAATGCGAACCACAGTTTCCCTGTCTGCTGTCCACGTTCCCACACTGACTGCATTGCCCCACCGCCGCTCAGTACGTCTCACCACTACTCTCTCCTCCATTGGAATGGCAGCTCCTGGTCTGTTTCCCGCTCCACCAGAGTAATTGTGGAGGAAGACTGTCCCATGACGTGGCCACTGCCAACCCTCAGGCCAGGTCCAGCACAGAGACTGTTCCCCATAAATCCCTTAGAGATCGTGTCTGACCCCTCCCCTCTGCCCCAGACATGCTGGTCCCAGGAACAGGCCCTGGCCCTGCCCCGGCCAAGTATGTAAGGCATTTTCTCCGTATGTTTTCCCCTTTTCTGGGGCAGCTCACGCCCCAGGCCCACATCCACCCTGCCCTGTCCTAATAGCCCTCTAGGACCCGCCACATGGCACGGAGGCGCTCCATGTCACGTTGCCGCCCCCCAGGGAGCCCCACATGGTGATACACTCTCGATGTGAAGATGGAGTTGGTGGCCTCTTTCTCTGGCCTCTCAGCTCTGGGACATTTTATGTCACAGGAATGTCTGGCACTCAGCATTTACTGAATACAGAAGACCTGCATCCCGCGGAGGGAGAAGTGGAAAGTCCTGCTTTTCCTCCTTCTCCCACCCCAAGGCCAGGCCCGGAGGTTCTCGCACTCACACACCACCTCCTCTGCATGCTGCCCAGGCGGCCCTCCACCCCACCAGGACGTCCCAGGGGGCACTGTGATCTCTTTGTTGATGCTCCTGGGAACTTGAAGGCAGAGTGGGTATCTCCTGTGTGTCTCGTTCTCTCCTCCAGCCCTACAGTAGGCACAAGTGCTATGATCCCATTTTACGGATGAGCAAACAAAACCCATCTGTGGACTCGGGGTCATAAGTGGCAGAGAGGCATGTTGAACTCGATCTGAATCCCCCTCCCCCATGCCTTAAAACAAAACTCAACACAAACTTTTTTAAAATATATATATTTTTATTGATTTCATCCTTGAAGCATTATGCGTTTTCCATTGCCATGGAGATACTCTTCATCTTGAGATGAGTAAATTGTCGCCGTCACCTTCCACACAAAGCTCCTCACACTTCAGCTGTCACCGTGCAGATTCATACGGAAAATACATTTTAAGCAGTGGCATCAAAAGTAGAGAGAGAAACATTGATGCGAAAGAGACACATCAATTGTTTGCCTCCTGCACACACCAGACAGGGGCTGGGGGCCAAAACTGAGGTATGTGCCCTTGACCGGAATTGAACCTGCGACCCTTCAGTCCACAGGCCAATGCTCCATCCACTGAGCCAAACCAGCCAAGGGGTCAACACAAACATGTATTGAGTACATAAGTGCAGGCTCTGGTCTAAGCACTTCACACACACTAACGTCTTTTCTTCTCCCAGCAACTCCGTGAGGTGGGGGCTGCTGTTCCTCCCATTTTGTAAATGACAAGGCAGAGGCCCTGAAATGGAGCGCCCAGCAACAAGGATCCTCTTCTGATCCCAAACCTGCCTGCTCAGACACCTAGACATATTTTAAAGCTATTGCTGTTCTTTGAACAGCATTATCATGAAATCAGATAGAAAAATAAGTAGTTTAAAGAAAAATCGGGATGAGTATAAATTAAATTTAATGGGGATTAGCCCTGGCCAGTTTGGCTCAGTGGATAGAGCATCGGCCTACAGACTGAAGGGTCCCAGGTTGGATTCCGGTGAAGGGCACCTACTTCGGTTGCAGGCTCAATCCCTGGCCCTGGTCGGGGCACATGTGGGAGGCAACTAGTGGATGTGTCTCTCTCACATCAATGTTTCTCTCTCTCTGTCTTCCCCCCTCCCTTCCACTCTCTCTAAAAATCAATGGAAAAATATCTTCAGGTGAGGATTAACAACAACAACAAAAAATTAATAGGTGTTACCCCAGGGGCAAGGTCAATGAGATACCCTCTTCTATTATTATTATTATTATTAATTTATTATCATTATTATTTAAGAATACATGAAGAAATTCTAGCAAAAGAATTCCCCCAAAGGGAGACATATAGGAAAGAGAATGTGCCCCACCTTTCTCTTCCTCAGGAACCAGAGCTGTCCACTATTTTCTCCCACATCCTGTGTCCCCTGGGCCCCATGGTCACAGGCAAAACCATAACTTAATGCTTTCTTTTCCTGTGTATACACAGTTCCCCTTTCTAAACCAGACATTTCGTAATGTTTAACTTTTGCACTCAGGGAGGAAAAGGCAAAGGATCCTGTTGTTTTGTTTTATGGGGAGGGAGCTATCCATGAATTTGAAATTGCAAAATTAAAATATAAAGAGATGAGCCAAAACTGGTTTGGCTCAGTGGATAGAGTGTCGGCCTGCGGACTGAAAGGTCCTGGGTTCGATTCCGGTCAAGAGCATGTACCTGGGTTGCGGGCACTTCCCCAGTGGGGAGTGTGCAGGAGGCAGCTGATCGATGTTTCTCTCTCATCGATGTTTCTAACTATCTCTCTCCCTCCCTCTCTGTAAAAACTCAATAAAATATATTAAATATATATATATATATATGAAGAGATGAAAATGACCTGGCTATCCCAGCCCTCAGAGCTAAGGGGTTGGTGTGGGCACCTCATTCGCCTTCCCAGCACCTTTCCGCGAGCTCTCTGGAATACAGGATCAAAGTTTAGCTGTGGGCCCTGGCTGGTGTGCTCAGTGGTTAGAGCATTAGCTCATTCACCAGCATCATGGGTTCGA